GCTCTTCCTCCACAAGAGCTGGTGAAGGCAGGCAGCTTTGCCCACTGCTGTGAACCGCTGTGGTGATGGGGCAGGAGACATGCATGTGGCTTTGTGAATGCCATGGGCTCTGTGAGGGCAGGGAGCCCTGCAGCCGCTGCATAATGCCTTCAGTGCCTCTTCCCTCCCCTCCTCACCCTTTCTGTTCGCTGCAGGCTGGAGCTGTACCGCAAGGTCCACAACCTCCGGATCCTCGCGTGCGGGGGAGATGGCACGGTGAGTCCCCTGGCCCCTTCATGCCTGCAGTACCCTTTGCATCAGGCCTTTCCAGTGCCAGCAGCAGCCACCCTCCTTGCTGTCATCCAGAATGGGGCAAAATGTTCACACTGTGTCTGTGGTCCAGCTGGTGGCACTGGATACTGTGGGTCCCCTCATGAACTGCTCCAGGGAGTGCTAGTCTGTGGCATGTCTGGATTTGTTGCTCGTTTGGGCGGCGTGCATCCTCACTGGGGTTACTGGTATCTCCCGCAGCACCCATTTGGAGCATTAAAGACTGTGAATAGCCTCGGTGGTGGCTAAGGGGACCCCATCTCTGCCCCTCTGCCATTGCTAGTGCTGCCGGTCCCTGAAATAACCAACTGTTTCTTTGCACTCTCTTGCTCGAGCAGGTGGGCTGGATTCTCTCCATTCTGGACCAGTTACGCCTCAACCCACCTCCTCCTGTGGCCATCCTACCTTTGGGGACAGGGAACGACTTGGCCAGGACGCTGAACTGGGGTGGGGTAAGTGATGGGCAGAAGAGCTCACTGCTGACAGAGGGGGGCTGAGCACTTCGACTCCATTTCCAGACACACAGGTGGAGAGTTGCACTGTCTGGCTGTTTTGACTTTCCCTAACTACAGACCAACAAATAAGCACAGTTTGGATGTTACCGTTCTTCTGACATTTTAATTATTCTGAATTAGGTTATAGTATATTAGGACATTAACAAAAGCAATTGTTATTTCAAACTTTGGGAGATATTTAGAAGGAAGATGTATTGGTTTTAAATTCAAAGTCCCACTTTGTTGAGCATTCAGGTAGAATTGATCTGTTCTGCATCCTTTGCTCTGGGATGTCTTCCCAAAGAAGATGACATCTCTGCAGGAGGCGGGTAGGAGACTCACCAAGTCCTGCTCTTCACCAGGGTTACACAGATGAGCCTCTGTCCAAGATCCTGTCACACGTGGAAGATGGGAACATTGTGCAGCTCGACCGCTGGAACCTCCATGTGGAGCCAAACCCTGACGCAATCCCTGAGGAAAAGGATGAGGCAGCTGCTGACAAGGTGGGACACCAGCTCTCCACATTTGTTCCTTGCGCTGGGGGTCTGCATTCTCCTCCCACTGGCTCAGGCAGCCCCAGCACCTGGGGCTGCGGTGTTGGGCTTGCATTTCCCTGCTCCAGTTCCATGGCTCTGACCCGTGGCACTCATGGTGAGGTATGTAGAGATCAGAACTAAATGTCCACCAGAGGCTTTTAACCACAACTGGCAGCAGGTATAAGCCCAATCCCCTCTGAGACTGTTTCTTTAACAGAAACATGGGTGATTGCAGGTATCTTGGAGAGCAGAGTGTGTCCCCTTGAGCCATGTCCCTTACCCCTAAGAGCCAGGGACCATCATCTCAGGCTGGTGACCTCTGTATTTTCCTGGGGGGAAGGCAAGCCTCCAGTCCTTCAGCTTTTTGAGCATAGTGCATGGCTCTGCCTCATCTTTGCCGTGGCCACACACTGACAGCCTCATCTTTGTTCTTCCTTTCTGTTTCAGCTCCCCTTGGATGTCTTTAATAACTATTTCAGCCTTGGCTTTGACGCGCGGGTGACGCTGGAGTTCCACGAATCCCGAGGTATGGGGGGGTGGCAGGGCTTAGGGCAGGGTCTAGGGCGATGGGGTGCCCCAGAGGTTGGCCCAGAAAATGCTCCTTGGGAAAGGAACAAGAGGATTGCCCCATGGACAGGATTGGAGGTGAAACCTGAGGAGCAAGTGGAGGGTACAGAGTGGGAAGAGGGGTGCCTGCCAGGGGAAGAGAGCTGGGGGCTGCCTCCTGGCTGAGGCTGGCTGGAGAGCCATGTCTGGGGGGAGCTGGCAAGTAAAGTATTTCCATGTGCAGGCCAATGACCTGGACTTTTTTCTCCTTTCCCTAGAGGCCAACCCTGAGAAGTTCAACAGCCGGTTTCGGAATAAAATGTTCTATGCTGGGGTGAGTATGTGGCGGGTATCTGGTCATGCCTTCATAGCAGCCCTTAGTGTCAGCTGGAGCACAGGCATGGCCCTGGCTCCTGTCCACACCCTCAACTCACTCATCTGAGTTACATGGGTCTTCACGTGCACCCAAGCTGAGCCCCCCCAGAAGCTGGAGAGGTGCTGGAGAAGGGCTGCAGCCATGGGAGTCACAGCTCCTCTTTGGCTGTGAGCACTGCTGGCGGTACAGCTTGCTCTCTGGCCCGCATTACAGTTGCTGTCTTGATCTCCTGCCACTATTGTTCATGTTCTCCGGCTCACGATGGTCACCCAGGCAGGACCTCCCCAGAGCTGTGGGGAGGCAGGCTGTACCCCCTGCAGAGGAATGGGAAGCCTTTCCATAGAGTCCCCACACTACTTTGGTCTTTTGTTTTGTACCTTGGGCCAGTTACAGCTCCCTGGCTAATTATGCCACCCTCCTATATCTCACCTCTAGAGCTTTGTGTCTGTGTTGCCTTTGTTCATCCATCCCCCCCCATCCTCAAGATACCTCCCTACCCATGTGGCTGGGTGACCAGTGTTTAAGCAGTACTGAAAGCCAAGTGCTGCTGTGTACCTTCTCGCATCTCTCCTGTTTGTGTCTCCCCTCCTCTCTCTACAGTTAAACCCAAAGGGGATCCTAGGATCTGTGTAACAGAGACCATACTGTCTTTCCTCGTATCTCTAGATGAGGTCACACCAGCTCTGTTTTATGGTACTTCATTGCAGCTTGAGACTGAATTTGTCTCTTGTGACTTGAGTCTTTCACAAGAGGAGCGCCACCTTGCCAGCTCTTCCCTAAAGCTGGGACTGGGCTGGTAAGGGAATATTGAGCAGTGTTACTAAAGGTGCCCTGAGGTTTTTGGTAGGCAAAATGGCCAGAGGAATGGATCAGGTTGTTTTGGGAGGGGAGAAGAGAGGGCTTCTGCCAATGGACAAGGAAGGGAGTTGCTGCTCTCAGCAGCTGAGGTCTGAAGGTTGGTGGAAGGCTTCCTGGCTGCCCGTTTCGGTGAACATGTGGGTGCTAACACTGCCTCTTGCCTTGGCAGACGGCTTTCTCCGACTTTCTCACTGGGAGCTCCAAAGACCTAGCGAAGCATGTCAAGTTGGTTGTGAGTGTGCAGGGGTCCTCTGGGCCAGGGAGGGGGTTGAGCTGCCGAGGGGCGGTCCCTTGGCACACTGGGTATCTCGTGATTGGGGAGAGGGTGTGTTCCTGGGAACATTGGCCTCCCCTGCCTTGGAGGACAGTCACCATGGGGAGCAGAGGAGGAGGTAATTTCCTCCCAGGTGGGTAGGGTGGGCCAAGCCCCCGCTTACAGCAGCCTGAATGCCCCTGTGTTGTCTCCAGTGCGATGGGACAGACCTGACCTCCAAGATCCAGGACCTGAAGCCTCAGTGCCTCGTCTTCCTGAACATCCCCAGGTGAGCAGCCTCAGGACCTGCCCTCGTGCTGGGCTCCTCAGCCCCATGCCACAGACTCCAGCCCAAGTTGGGGGGTCCTGTCCATGCATTGCTTGCCATCCCTTCACAGGTACTGTGCAGGCACCATGCCCTGGGGCAACCCCGGGGAGCACCACGACTTTGAGCCGCAGCGCCATGATGATGGCTGCATTGAAGTTATTGGCTTCACCATGACATCCCTGGTGAGTCGGTGCTGTTGCCCGTTGTAGCTAGCAATGAGGGGAGCAACTGGTCCCATTGACCAACCATCAGCCAGCTCCCCACTTTCCCTCCTGAGGAGCTGTAGTGCTGGCCTGTGTGACAGTGTCTGCTTTCTGACATTTAGGCAAGGTGCTGTTGTGCCCTGGTCTCTGTGGATACCCTCCAGAACTTGGTTTGCTTGCAGCATCTGGCTGACAGTGGGTGCTCCCCGCATCCACCCCTCAATCCATGCTCTGCTCTCACTCTGGACCCTTTCACAGGCTGCCTTGCAGGTCGGTGGCCACGGGGAGCGGCTGTGCCAGTGCCGGCAGGTGGTTCTCACCACATCCAAGGCCATCCCCATGCAGGTGGATGGAGAGCCCTGCAAGCTGGCGGCTTCCTGCATCCACATCTCCCTGCGCAACCAAGCCAACATGGTGCAGAAGACCAAGCGGCGCAACTCCATGCCTCTGCTCAATGAGTAGGTTCCTCAGATCAATCTGCCACCTCCTCTTGAAGGGATAGAGGGGGAAGGGATGCGACTAATCCATCACTCCCAGAGGCATTTTGATCCTTTCTCAAGAAGGGTCTGGGAAGGGATCAGGTCACAGAAGTATGGCCAGACCCTGATGCTAGAGAAGCTGCTGGTGCCAAGCCCTCCAGACCAGTCCATGTTCTTGCCTGCCTTGGAGGGGTGAGTGGGATAAGAAGAAAGGGGGCTGTCACTTTCTGATCCCTTCCCTTTTTCTTCCCCCCTGCACGCAGCCAGCAGCCAGTGCCTGAGCGGCTGCGGATCCGGGTGAGCCGAATCAGCATGCGCGACTACGAGACACTGCACTATGACAAGGAAAAGCTCAAGGAAGCCTGTGAGTGACCAGCTGAATGACCAGGGGGTGGGAGCCACAGTTCCTGAGTCCAGTAGTGCCCTTGGCTCAGCTGTGTGAGGGTTTGGGGATGGGGCATGGGCTGCTCCCTTAGTTGTGTCTGTGCCCTGTCGTGCAGCTGTGCCGCTGGGGATCATTGTGGTTCCAGGAGACAGTGACCTGGAGTTGTGCCGGACCCAAATCGAGAGGCTGCAGGAGGTGAGGCTTTGTGTGGGAAGTGGTCGTGGCTGAATGCTGAGGATGGAGGGGCTCAGGGGAGGGATTTCTAAGCCATGGTGCACGCGCCAACACACATGCTCCCGCTTCTGGTAGCAGGACACAGTTTGCCTTTGCCCCATGGTGGAGGCAGGATCTCAAGCTGGACAGCTTGTTGCTCCCTGCTCTCCAGCAGCTTCTTTCTCATCTTTGCTCTTCTGACCTTGTTCTCTAGGCCCAGAGTGTCAGTGGCTCAGAAATATTACGGGACAGTGGAAAAGGCCAGCATACATCCTATGGGGGCCTGTCAGCCTCTGGGGGTTTGGGGAGGCCTTTCCTCTGTCCCTTCATTTGCTGTGCTGTGTTCCTTCAGCCCTCTGTGGGCTCTGTGTTTCCTGGCTCTGCTCCTCCCAGGGCGCCTAGATTAGGGTTGCTTCCCCCTCCAACTCTTTTCATTTGCAAGTACTAACTTTTGTGGTCCTGCCAATGTGCTTGTCCATGACCTGGACACAGGCTGTGTAACCCTTGCTCCTGGCGAGCAATGCCTCCTGAGCCCACAGTGTGCCCCTCCTGGTGCTGCACTGCTCAGTCTGATTTTTCTCAGAAGACTGAAGGGGCCTTGCTCAGTCCCCAGTTAGCTGGCTCTTGTGCCTGAGGGAATCCCATCCAGCACGTGCGTAGTGTCCTGCAGGGCTGGGTTGCAGAGCTGCTTGCCCGGGCTGGCACACTGGCATCTGCTCCTTGCTCTGCCTGCTCTGCATGCCTGTCCCCTGCCTGCCTTGTGCCCAGGCACTGGTGAGGACATGCAGACAGGCACTAGCAGCTCCCAGGCTCAGAGGGTAACACTTTCCTGTGGTGTCAGCAACCTCCTGCCTCTGCAACCTCCTGCACCTCTAAAGCTGTGCATTGAGGCTAGTGTTCCTTGGTCACCTCGTGGTTTACCTCTTCTCTCTCCTTGGGCAACCACTGTGCTCTGGCCTCAAACCAGGGCAGGGACCAGGGACCTTGGCCACACAGTGTGTAAGGCCAGATATGGCAGCACATTAAGCAACACAGATGGGATGAGAGAGGGGCTGGGGGCCTGCCCAGACGACAGCTGTAACGGCGCACCTTGCCTTTCTGCAGGATTTCCCTCCACAGCCCTCTGCTTTAGAGTGCCTGCTCTTTCAGGTGTGTATGGCCTTGCTCTGTCCCCTGGGCCCATCTGTGGTGTGCACCATGCCGGTCTCATGGGCTCGTTTTGTGGCACCTCTCTCCAGTGAGCTGGTGTGTGTCAGCTCCAGTCTGTCCTGTGCTGCTCCGTGTCACCATGTGCTGTGCCTGTGCTCAAGTTCCCCTTTCCATCCAAGCACCTGTGGTCTTCCATGTCTGCGGGGACCTCCCAAAGCAGGAGGGATGCTCTGGGGACAGATGGGGAGGCTGAGACACGACTTCATCCTCTCTTTTTTTTATACAGGAGGGAGATGGAGCCAAACCGAAGACACTGTCATCCCAGAAGCTGTCGCCCAAGTGGTGCTTCCTGGACTGTGAGTATCACCTTCCCCTGGGAGTGCTGGCTGTGTCTGGATTTGGGGAAGTGAAGAGACAGACCCTTAGTGATAAGCCACTGAGAGCCACATGGGACTTGGGACTCATGGATGTTGGGGTCTTTGCAGCTGAGTGCAGCAGTTTTTTTGCCCCAGGCTGTGTCTCTGGCTGCTGACCACGAGTGGAGCAAGGGGCGAGAGAAGCGAGGGGTGTCTGCTGGTCTCCTGCCCCTGGAGCTGAAGGCAGCTTGGCAGTGTGTGTGTCCCATCACCTTGGGACTGCTGGGGTTGCTCTCATCTGTCATGCAGGCAGGGGGCCCCCCTGCTCCAGCACGCTGAGAGCAAGACTCACCTTGAGCATCCCAGTGGTATGGGAACAGGCTCCTCACTGGGCTCCAGCTGCTTCTCCCCTGCCTGAAAGTAGCTTTCTCCTCTCCCTTTGCCTTTACTGACCAAGAAGCTCCAGAGCTTTCCCTCTGTACCTGGAAGTTGGCCAAGAGAAATGACTGCTGGGGGCACTTCATCTCCCTGACTTCCCAGTAGCAGGGCACAGAGCGCAGCAGAGTGCAGCCATGGGTTGCTAAGTGGGCCCGGGAGCCTCGTGGTAGGCGGAGAGGATGCAGTTTCTCCCTTTGGGGTTCCAGCCCTGCATGTGGGACTGCTGGCGCTGCTGCTCCCAGGTGTCACTACCAGGACTGCTGTACCAGGACTGCTTTCCCTCTTCCTGCCAGTCTCCCAGCAGCAGGTTCTGGGCTCAGGAAAATGTGTCAGGAAAGAGGCCAGAGCCTCATTCAAGACAGTGTAGGTTCATTCAAGCAGCTGAATTACAGGCCTTCAGCAGACGCTCCCTGGCTGTAAATCTCCAGCCAGGACAGGATAAACGGGGTTCTTTCACTCCTCTTATCTGCTCTGGCCCGTCCCCACTCTGTGGAGAGAATTCCCTGGGTCCCCAAGGGTCCCACCACAGCAACCTCGCCTGGGCAGGCACCAACAGCCTGGCAGAACACAGGGGAAGTGCCACCCTGGGTGGAGACCCAGTTGTCCTGGTGCTGTGCTCTTGCTTGTCCTGCTTTCCCCTGGTGATGCCTTAAGTCCCTGGCCCCTCCCTGCTCCCCCAGGGGTGGTAGCTGCATGGGTCTGGCTCCAGCACAGCCACTTGCTCCACTGGGTGTTGAAGGAGCTCCTCTCCTCCTGTGGGGATCTCTCCTCTAAGGAAGAGGGACGAGCAGAGGGATGCACTCAGACAGGCTACCCCACCAGCAACAAGCTGGAGGCTGGTTTGAAGGTCTCTGCTGCCATCCCAGGAGACAGAGGCTTGGATCTACAGCTGGTGGTGGTGTGCTCTGTTGTACCTGGCGGTCACAAGCTCTGACATGGCCTTGTGCTGGTCCACGGGACCTTACTCAGTCAAGTCAGCAGGAGGCTGAGCTCCCTCTTCTTCCAGCCCTGCCTAGTGTCACCATTTCTTGTTGCTCTGCAACAAGGTGCACCGTGTAAAATTGGAGTAGTTCCTCACCTGGTGCAAGTGAATGCTGAGACATGTGCTGCTCAGCCCTGAGATCTGTCTGCTCAGGTTAATGCTAGAGCACCCAAAAGTCCCCAGAAAGGCCATGGCGTCAGCCAGACATGTTCTTGCCTTCCCTGGGGCTCCCTACCTGGAGTCATCAAGGAGGAGATGGCAAGCAAAGGCGTGTTGCACAGGGGCATGGTGGTCTGTAGGCCCAAGGGGCTGTCTCTCAGGTAAAGAGAACAGCAGGGTCCTGAAGGGAAAGGGGCTGCTCCTGGTCAGGGGGTGCTCTTTGCTTTGCCGTGCCCTCCATGCCTCCTTCGCTACCTCTTGGTGGCAGAAGGCAGCCATCTCCACATCCCACACCAAGAATCACTCTGTCTCACTCTGTCTCTTTCTTACAGCAACCACAGCTGATCGGTTCTACAGGATAGACCGTGCACAGGTGAGCATGGCCTTGTCCTACGCCATTGTCCCCCCCCGGCATCTGCTGGGAAGGTGCTTGAGTGTCCTGCGTTCACATGGACTGACAGGCAGGCTCAGCCTTGGGGACACAAAGGTCTCGCACCACTGCCCCGCATCCCCCAAGGGGTGGTGTGACTGGCCTAGCCCAGGACCAGCCCCAGCACCTCCAGGTTCCTGTGGAAAGGGAGGAAGTGTGGGTAGGAGCACAGAGACTTGGGTTGGAAGCCACCTGCAGGACCCTAGAGCAGAGCGGGTAAGGAATAGCAATGTAGCAAGACTGGCCAGGCACCCACTGACTGGGGTCGTTTTACCCAGCATTAAATAATTTCCCTAATGCCCTGGAGAGGGGGACATGGAGATGAGGTGTATGGGTCAGCTGCTAGGTTGGGAGGAGATGGGAAGCCTGGAAAGGACAAGGAGATGCGGAGGTTTCCCTGGCATAGGTCTCAGGACTCTTTGAGCCACCATCGCTCTGCTGAGCGAGTGGGTTGGCTACAAGGCGTGGCATGTGAGGGGGTGGGAGGGAGCTATGGGTCTTGCTTATGAGGAGGCTGATTTGTGTCTTTCAGGAGCACCTCAACTATGTGACAGAGATCTCTCAGGATGAACTCTATGTGCTGGACCCAGAGCTGGTGATCACCCAGACCGTGGGCACCTCTCCTGCCATGCCTGACCTTGTCGACTCATCTGCTGTGCCCACTGGGCACCATTTTGCATTCCCTTCCTCTTCCTCCTCTCCACCCTCCTCTCCTGCCCCCAGGTAAGTCTGGGGTGGGAGAGAATGGGATGCTGGACCTCAGGAGGCATGGGGAATGATGGATGAAAGATGAAGCCGGGTTGGCTTCACTGCATTGATCCCTGGGCCAGATTACAGGGGGGGTCCCTGGAAGCAAGCGGGAATTCAGTGCTGAGTTAGACCAAGTGGTGAGATGCTGTCCTGTCCTCCCTGCTCTCTAGCCAGTGCTGCTGCAGGCAGTGGGGCATCACCAGGCGGCTTAGCTGTGAGGTCCAGCTCCAGCACCTGGTCCATGGGGCAAAGGGCATGGGTGTCTGTTGGCCCAAGTCAGGCCGGCCTTGGGTATGAGTGAGCAACAGGGATGGGGGCAGTAGAAATGGGAGTGGGGAAGGGGAAGAAGCAGATGGCATGACCAAAGAGCAGCAAAGTCTCTTGGCCTGCCTCTGCTCCTGCCTGCTGGAGGAGTGCCATGGGCAGGCTTCTCCACAGCCATCCCTCCACCCGCCGTGTGCTCTTTTGGGCAATCTACTGCCAGGACTGGCAGGGTTAATTATGCCATTTCTTCTTCCCTTCCAGCGCTGAGCCTGAGCACTGCCTCCCGCACAAAGGTGAGTCCTGTCCCACCCCCTGTCACACCCTCTCTCAGGTCATGCTGTTTTGGGTCCCCACCATAGTTTTTTGGCCCATCCTTTCCCTGGCGTGCAGGCAGGAGCCCTGCTGTCTGTGTGCTGGGTGGGAGCACAGAACCCTGCAGGCGGGTGACCGCAGAGGTGGGCAGGAGAGATCTGACAGTGATTTGTGGAGCGGCCCAGCCAGGCGCCTTCCCGACTCCACCATGTGGGAAATGGTGTGGCAGAGGGGTTAATCCCCCACCTGTGGAGCCGAGTGCTGTGGGCTGGGTTGAGGGGCTGTCCCTGCCAGGCAGTGGCAGGAGCTCTGGAGGTGGGAGCACAAGGTCAGGGGCCTCACCGAGCTGAGCAAATGGAAAGAGTTTCCTGGAGCTTGAGCGGAGCCCAATGCCTGGAAGTGTGAGTGAGTCATGGGTGAGAGGCGTCTCAGCCACTGGCCGACATCCAGGAGATCTGCTCCCTGCTTCCATTGCAAGTCATCCTGCCCATGGGCAGAGACTGCTCCCCCTTGCATGTGCACCTCCCTGGGGCTGAGGTCTGGCTGTGCCCTCAGCTACGTGGGGTCTCCCCCCTTCCCCTGGCTTGTCCCTTACATGCCTGAAGGTGGGGGAGCCATGTAAAATCAGCCTGACCAAGGGGTTAGCACCTGGCAGAGTCCAGCTGACTGCTGAGCCTCTGGTGCCCAGCCCTTGGCTCCCCAGTTAGATAAATGGCATTACAGCTTGGCTTTCTGACCCCAACCCATCTCTCTTTGCAGATGACCTTCTGATAGAAGCTGCCAAGAGTGGCAACTTCAGCAAGGTAGGTGCTCCCGCTGCCTGCTGCGATGTGCAGCCAGGGCTGGCTCTGGGTGCTTGCCCCGCAGCCTGCTCGGCTGGCATTCCCCTCAGGCTGTGGGAAGCCCTGCCAGCCGCACTCCACGATTGCCCTGGAGCAGCTCCTGTTGAGGGCCTTCCTCCAGGAGCAGTGGCTGGAAACCAGGCAGGCTTCTGGCAAGAAGCCCTGTTCCTTGCCTGGGGGACATGGAGGGAAGGGACTTGGCGGTGTGGCTGAGCTGGACAAAGCTCCCCGCCAGGTCCCAAATATCCCTGCAAACTGCTAAGTACCCCAGGGACACGATGCTGGGGCTTGGGCCTTGGAGCTGGGAAAGGCCACTCATCTCGAGCACTCTCGCAATCCTGTAGTTCCAAGAGCTGCACCAGGCTGGAAGAGACCTGATGGTGCGAGACTCCTCGGGCCAGACTGTCCTCCACCATGCCGTCAAATCAGGGAGCAAGGACATCGTCAAATACATCATCGAGAATGGTGAGCTGGGGTCAGAGTGCCACCCTTAGCAAAGGAGCCTGGCAGCCAAAAAAGCCCAAACCTCTGCTTAGAGGGGGGTGCTTCTAGGCTTAGATCCCTTCCCTCCAGGTTTGTTACATCCTTCTGGCATATGGGCTTTCCCTGGCATCTGTCTGCCAGTACTGGGGTACCTCCATGGTCATTGCCGCATCCTGGCAGGAACCAGCATGTCTCTGGGAAACATTTCTCAGTGTCCTCCTCCTGCCTTCAGGGCAGCCGACCTGTTGTTTTTGGCAGCTCCCACTGAAATAGAGGCAGCTTTATTTTTATTTAGGTATTTCTCTGTGATGAGTCCACAACAGCTCTTCTTCCCTGATCTCAGCTGGGCTCAGATGCTATTGCTGGCCTGAGCGCTTTGGAGCCAGGAGGTTTGCAGGCAGCATGGCAAGAAAGAGCAGCCCCTATGGAAAGTCACAGAGTGCAACTGGGGAGTAGGTGGGTCTGTCTCTGCCCTGCAACTGGGTCTCACTCGCCCTGCACTGTCTTTCTCTCCACAGCCCCTTCAGAAATCCTTGATGCCACGGAGGAGGAGAAGTAAGTTGCTGACTGACTTGTGTTACCTATTGGCCAGACCCTCTGCAAGGTAGCCAGTTGTCTGGGCGCTTATGAGCTGCCCTCACGCTAATTACCAAGCATGGTTCCCAGTCCACTCTGGACTGACTGTCCCCAAGCAGCACCTCCTCCTCTGCCAGGGCTGCCTGGACAAGCACGCAACCCACTGCGAGCTCCTGCTGCAGTCAATTTGCTGTCCCTTGCTGCCACCTGCACGTGCTGCATGTCCCCATTCAGGGGGGGCATCTCACATCTTCGCTTTCTCCTCCCCAGCGGCGAAACCAGCTTGCACCAGGCTGCAGCCTTGCGCCAGCGCACTATCTGCCACTACATCGTGGAGGCCGGGGCTTCGCTCATGAAGACGGACCTGCAGGTGATGGTGGGAGGGCTGGCAGTGGGGCTTTCTGGGGGGACCGAGGAGCTGGCAGGAGCAGGGCCAGCAGGATTGCAGGGCAAGGCTGCTTTGGCTGGCATCTTTGCCAGCCAGAGAGGAGCTAACAAGAAGCACCCATGCTTGCCCAGCGGAGCCCAGCTGCACAGGGGTTAAATCCCTCTCCTCCCCACACATCTCTCCCTGTTGTTTTATTAAATTAGAAGCCAGGGGCTGGAATGTCTCATCCCTGTCTTCCCCTTCCCACCCTCCAGGGTCAGAGCAAGGACATTCTCTCTGAGAGCTCCCTCCCAGCTGCAGGGCTCCCCCGCGGGTGGCTGTGATGGGGGCACTGGGACCTCCTCTCGGCGAGTGAAGCCAGCCTGCAGGGAGCAGGAGCAGGCAGTGGAGCCCTTTCCCTTGCATGCCGAGTTAATTGAGACATGCCTTGGTGCCGGGGAGTTGTGCCAGCCCCGGCAGAGGAGTCGTGGTTCCTGGGGCTGGTGGATGTCAGAGGGGACATGGTCGTATCTGTCTGGTAGAGGCTTGTAGTGATGGGCTGTAGCAGAGAAGGTGTAGTAACAAGCCAAGAAGGTGCAATCTGTGGGTCTGGGACACAGCGTAGGAGCCCAGCTGGGGAGTGCAAACTTGCTGGGGCCAGTGGAGCTTGGGGGCCACCTCAGACAATGCACAGCCCCGTTGCCAGCTGCCAGGGAGACGCTGTACAGACAAGCTCTGGCTCCCTGTCACCCCTCCTGGGTCCTGGCCAAGGCTTGGGCCTTGCCTAGTGCCCAGAGGGGGCTGGTCTGGCTGGAGACTCAGCCGGCAGAGGCAAGGGGAGAGGGCAGCTCTGGGGGCACAGCCCCGCTCTGCCCCCAGCCCCCTCATCTGGCTGAAGGAGGGGAGCAGCCCCCAACCTGCCAGCACAAAAGGGAGCCCCGCTCAGGCATGAGGGCTGCCCCGGGGAACGGGGCTTGCACATGCCTGTGCAAACACGCATCCAGGTTCATAGCTGTCTGGGGACCCCTCTGCGCTGCTGTGCTGACCTCGCGCGGGCCCTGGGTCACAGCCTGCCTGCACAGGCACGAACCCACCTCATTGGAAGCCTCAGTGTTGGACCTGTGGCAGGGGTTGGGAGCGGGCTGATCCTGCACCCTGCAGCGGTGAGGGAGGCTGAGCCTTATCGGTTGACGTGCCTCAGCCTGGCTGGGCAGAGGGGCCCTGGCAGCTCCGGTTTCAGGCTGTGGGCAGGCAGCGTTGCAGTGGGGCTTCTGCAGGGGGACGGAAAAGAAACTCAATTCCTCCTCTGGTCTTTCCCCCCCTTTGTTAAATGAGTGCTTGCGTTCAGGGGCTGCGGAGAGGAGGCCCCTGAGGAGATCTGGCACTGGAGCACGGAGCGGTCTGCCTACCCCTGCCTACATGTGTGCAGGGGGATGTCTGCGGGACCGTGGGGTGTAACTGGGTCTTGGGGTACATGTGCAAAAGAGGGGGTTCTCAATGCATCGCACCTCTCTGCCGCCGTGCACAGGTGGGCTTTTGTCCACAGCCACATCCAGGCCCGCTGGAGGCTTCCCCTGTCTGACCATTGTTTCTGCTGGAGAAATACGGCTGTGGGTCGCCATGGAGGCCACAGACCCTGCCGCAGCTGCCTGTGCCCCACTGCACACCAGGGGACGAGCCAGGCAGGCTGGGCATCCCTTCCGGGGCCGGTTTTCAATGGCAGCGGCAGAGCGCCAGGTTTCCGCGGCCTTTCTTAGCGGCACAGCAGAGCCCGGGCGCTTGGCGAGGAGGAGCAAGGAGCAGGGGGAGGGAAGGGCGAGAGGAGACGGAGCTGGGAGCTGTTAACAGATTTGCTTTTTATGGAGTGCGGGAGTTCATTAGTGGACACAGTCCAGATGGCTGCAATAAGCTGGTGAAATGTGATCCTCCTCCGGGAGCGGGAGCGCTAGCCAGGCTGCGAGAGGGAAGGGGGGTTGGTATTCCTGGGCATTCCCCAGACATACCCCTCATTCCTCACCCTCTCCTGCCTGCCTCCCCAGCGCCGGGGAAGAGCAGGTCACAGGGACCAACCTTTGTCTCCTCTCAGGGGGCTGGTGAACATCAGGGATAGATGGTCACTGTCCTGGCCCGCACATGGGGCCAATGGCCCTTCAGGTGACAGCTTCCAGCCCCGCAGCAGTGGTGGGCTCCTCGGAACCACGCTTTTGCTCTGTGGCGAGCACCTGGCCATTTGGCTACTGCCCACTTCGGGGCTTGGCTGCAGGCTCTGCTGCACCCAGCTGCAGCCACCTTTTTGGTGGGGGAGTGAGGGCACCTTTGGGTGCTGAGGTAGTGTTCAGGCAGTGCTCGGTGCTCTGACATCTTTTGCCTCCCCTATGCAGGGAGACACCCCCAAGCACCGGGCCGAGAAAGCCAATGACCCCGACTTAGCTGCCTACCTCGAGAACCGACAGCACTACCAGATGATCCAGCGGGAGGACCAGGAGACAGCTGTGTAGTGCTTGGCGTGCCTTAGTTCAGGCCAGCTCGGGCAGGACGAGAAGAGGATGATGGCGACTGGCAGAGCTGTGAGTCTGGCCCAGCCTTCCCTAGATGTCAACCTGGTCCCCAGAGGAGATGAAGCCAGCAGAGCTCTGCCCCAGGCTGGGCTGGGACTCTGTTTATGAGGACAGTGGGTATTTGGGACTTGAAGCCTGGCTCTCTGTGTGTCCCCCGCTTCGCCCCTCATCCACCACGTTCCCTGCCCTGGATGGGCTCCATCCCTGCAGCCCTGTTGGAGCAGGCCAGTTTGAAGCCCCGGGTCACCCTTGTGCATGGGAGTGATGCCAGTGCCCCTCCACAAACTCCTACCTATGATCCTTGTGGGATATCGTTGTTCACCCCCTCTCCTTGCCGACAGTGCCCCTCCTTTAGATGCTTGGCTAGGTTCATGTCCTGTTCCTCCTCTCCTGTCTGGCACAGCCGCAGGAGGCACAGGCTGTGCA